TCGGGTTCAACACGCAGGATGCGTATCTTGAAAGAGACCCATCCGCTGATGGCCTAACCAAGGCATTCTCGCACATGAGCATTCGATGCAACCCAGAAGTTCCACGCGATATCCCTAAAGCAGAGCTTGCAAAACTACCACCTCCCCCAGAGGTCGTGGAGCTAATGAGGGAGGTGAAGCGAACATCTTTGCAGCTTCGGCAGCAGTATGGATTTATCAAGTCAGCCCCAAAGAGAATCAAAGCAAAGTATTCGCAGCTTCGTTGTGATTTGCGAAACTCAGAGAAAGCCTTCAGGTGCGACATGACCAAAGTATACCAGGAAGAGTACCGGCGACGGATGCACAACGAAGAGTTGGAGAGGCAACTGAATGGCATGGCTATCGAAGAGAAGATTGAGCCTGCCGTTGAGCATCAGCTTCCAGAGCGCTCAAGATTGCAGAATATTCTCTGCGACTTTCGTACGGATATGAGTCTCGAGGATATTACAGCCCGCAAAATTAGAGCTATCGATATGATGGTCCGCCTCGCCGCCTGCCGAGAAGTGCGCCAGCTTCGACCGGGGCCTTCTCAAGAGGCAAGCAGAGAATCCTCTCCTGAGGTGGCTGAGTCCAAACTAGTCCTTAAGCTCAAACCATTCGAAAAGTTTCCGCTCCTGCTAGGCAAAACGCAATGCATCTACTGTGTGGGGGATGAGCGACTGACTCATGCAGCTCGAATGAGAAAGTTCAAGCGTGTTTCTCACATGATGGACCATGTCGAGAACGTTCATCTGCGGCACGAGCACGGCAATGCGAGGTTTGTGTGCCGCCACCCCGAATGCCAGCATCTCGGTGATTTCCTGACAAGCTTGGATCACTTCAAAAACCACGTTCAAACCGTGCATGGCGTAAAACTTCGCGAGCAAGGTTTAAAAGGTTGCAGTAGATGAAATATAGCACTTTGTACTGGTACATAGAGTGTTCGTTTTTTGTCATTACCTAGTGAGGTCATCCTAGGCTTGACTCGCGTGAGATTGTAAGTACTGATTTCTCTCGAACGAGTCAATTATTCTCCTAATAAAACCCGCAGGGCAAGTTTGCGTGTCGCACTGTGTCACGACTCGAGTAATCATACAACAGAGCCTGAAGCACTTCGGCAGGAGCTAACTGTTCCCATCTTTCGTAAGATGCTGGAATTTCTCAAGCGCCTTGTGAACACTCTCATGCCCATTCTTTCGCGCCACGGTGACGGCTGTGTCTCCGTTTTCGTCCACAAGGCCCGGATCCGCTTTGGCCTCCAGCAGAATAGCTACAACCTTCTCATAACCATAATTTGATGGCCAAAACAACGGTGATCTCTGGGCAATCGATAATGAGTTGACGTCCACGTCTAGTCTATGCGCAAGAACCCTTACGACCGCATCGTGTCCCTGCCTTGCTGCGATCCATAGAAGCGTTACCCCCGAGGGACCTTTTTAAATCAGGTTTCAAGCCTTCCTGGATGAGCTATGCATGCAACGAGCGTCTCCAGCCTTTGCCGCATTACAAAATTTCGCAAGACGACGGTTTTCGTCGTTGGCTGAGATAAGACCATCCTGTTGGGATATAAAGTCCAGAAATCCACCCTGGCCACGTATTGCAGCTGTGAGCAGCGTCATCTCCGTAACTGAGGCTGCAGCCTCTTCTCCACGCCGATCAAAGAGAAGTTGCAATATTTGTAGGCCATTCCCTTCATTGCCTGCGGCAGCCTTCACCGCCTCCTCTGTGATCGTGATCTCGTTTCTTCGCTGCTCAAGCAGGAGCGCCATCACGTCTTTGCCATTGCTGCAATTTCCCGCCGCAGCATTCACCATTACCTCCGTGATCATGATATCTTCCCCATCAGCTCAAGAAGAAACGTCATCAACTCCTTGTCGTTTTACGAGTTTCTCGCCGCAGCCTTCACCACTTCCTCCGTGACCATGATCTCTTCTCCTCGCCGCTCAAGAAGGAGCGCCATCAGTTCTTCGCCAATGTCCTCATTTCCTGCTACAGCCTCCATCACCTCGTCCGTGATGGTGATCTCGTCTCCTCGCCG